CAGGCTCATAGGGGGTGGCTTCTGGGGAGTTGGGTGGGCAGAGGAGGGAAGGAGGATGGGCAGCTCCCAAGGGCTCATACAGCCCTTCTTTCATTCTCTGTTTTGTGTGTTTCTTTTTCCCCTTCTGCAGGTCGTCAGGGCCATCAACTCCCTGCTGCTGCGCAGAGTCGTCTGTCTCAAGGACCTGGACACAACCATGGCTGGATGTGCTGCCCTGGGGTTCCTGAACTGCTGGGAAGGAATCGATGGCATGTACATCCCCATCCAGGCACACTCCTGGCAGGGAGGGAGGAGACTTCGTGCTCCCCTGCCCCAAAGCCCTGATTGGTCTGGGGGCGGGGAGCATGGGAAGTCTCCTCCCCACTGCCAGGGGCCTGAGTGCCTAGGAGGAACCTGGAGGAGGGGCAAAGGAGCTCCCTCACCTCCAGCCCAATCATGGTTTGTGGGTGGGGAAACCTGGAAGCATCCTGGCCCCACCCCTTCCATTTGAGGCCCCGCCCCTTTTGGAGCAGACCGGAGCCACTTCAAAAAATTTTGAAATGGGCCCCGGCAAAAAATTATTGTCCACCCCTGTCTTAGATGGTATCAAGGCACATGCCCCAAAATCTATGACGACCTTGTGGGCAGAAAGAGCTTGTGGGTCAGCAACATGGTGACTGGTTAACATGCGTGACAAAGATATGCCCTGATGACCACACTGCAGCCTTACAAATGTTCAGAACCAGAACATTAGTGAGGAAGGCCATTTAGGAGGCTTGCACTCTTAGTCAAATGAGCCGTAAACAGTGAAGGTGGCTGAGCACCCACCAGCAGACAGCCTCTCCCTGATGGTTGACTTAGAACACTGTGGCTGCATTTGGAGATCCTTTGCATGGATACCAGGACACACTTCATCCTTTCAGCATAGATAACAAAGAGCTTGTGCAACTTACAGAATGGCCTCATTCTGTCAATGTCTGGGGCGGGTCACATGAAGCCAACATTCCTCAACAGATGCATGAAACTTTGGGGACAAGACTAGGAGGAAAATATCCTGGCCTATATGGAAAGTGGAGATCACCTTGGACAGAAAAGCAGGGAAGAGACACAACTGCACCTTGTCTTTAAAGATGAATGTGTAGGGGGGCTCTGACATGACATCAAGTCCTTCAATTCAGAGACCCTCCTCGCCAATGTTACGGTCACAAGGAAAGCCACCTTCTGGGACAGGTGTAGGAGAAGTTGGCGGCCATGGTAAATTCAGAGACCCTCCTCGCCAATGTTATGGTCACAAGGAAAGCCTCCTTCTGGGACAGGTGTAGGAGAAGAAGGTGGCCATGGTCCTGACAGAAAAGGTCTGGACAGCAGAGGCCAAAGGGGGCACACTGCAAGGTTCAGCAATGTGGCATATCAATGCTGGTGAGACAAGAATGACACTTGTTCTGTCCTGCTTGACCCCAAGACCTTGGGGATGAGTGGAATTGGGGAAAACACATGAGACAGGGCACCCTACCACTAGATGAAGAATGCATCTACCAGGGACTTCTTGTCTACCCCACATCTGAAACAGAAGCTGTGACACTTTGTGTTGCTCTCTGTGGTGATGAGGTCCACCTGGGGTGTGCCCCACTTCCAGAAGAGCATAGCAGTGACCTGCACTGAAAGGCTCAGTCGTGGAAAGAGAAGAACTCTCTGTTCAGTTTATCAGCAAGGAGGTTGCCTGTACCCAGAAGGTGATGGAACTCCTGCATGGCATTCACCTGAAGTCCCAGAAGCAGATTATCTCTTGAGAGTGTGTGTTGGACTGGGCCTCTCCCTGATGGTTGACCTAGAACACTGTGGCTGCATTGTCCATGGTATCCCAAACAACCCTTTCCTCCAAGTGAGGGAGGAAGACCTCACAAACCCTCTGAACCTCCTGTAGTTCTTTGATATTTTATGTGGAGAGGCACCTCCTGCAGGGCTCATGTATTCTGGGTCTGCAGATCATTCAAGGTGGACGCCCCAGGCCAGGTCCAACATATCCAATACCAGTTTGAGGGAGTAGGGAGGGGCCCCGAACATAACTTTCATCACATTTCCAGGAACCGTCCACCAGGCTATGGAGTCGAGGACCGGGGCCATAACCACCCAGTCCTGAGGATGCCTGGACATGAGCAATCACTTGAAGAAGAATCAAAGCCTCTTATTCTGAGAGGGTTTTACGCTTCTCTAAGCCATACAAGGTTGTATCACAGTTTCCCCCCTTGGCTTCTCTGGCACATTTTTATATACCAATTCAGCTTGTCACACACACACACACTCTTTGGAAATAGAGCCCCTTACCACTTGCCTGGTCACCCAGATCCAGCCCTCAACCCTTCAAAATACCCAGTAGCTCAAACACACCTTTGCCAAAATTCCTAAGGTCTAAGCATTTTGGGTGATAGTTTAGGTGTAAGGATAAGTCTGCACTGCAGAGCTAGTTTGGGACACTGGAAGTATCCCGAAATAGTTATTCCATGTCTATTGAAGCAGCCTGTTTCAAAAGAGATTTCAAAATAACTCAGTGGCTTATTCCAATATCCCAGTAATCCCCAGGTTAAGGGAAATTTCAGAATAACAAGTTATTCTGAAAATATCCCAGTAATCCCCAGGTTAAGGGAAATTTCAGAATAGCAAGTTATTCTGAAAATAAATTAGGAAATAAGCTATTTCAAGCTAAGGGTGTTGTGTAAACTGTGCACTCCAAGAGGCATTTGGTAGGAGTAACATAATATACAGACTCTTAGAGTTCTAACATATTACTGCTCTTTAATCACATGAGAATTACACCGATCTACAGCTCCTATGATCATTTCCCCTTTATTCTAGCTCACCCTTTCCATATCTGCAACTGCATTCAAGTAGGCAGAGTCCTCCTTCCTAGCCTTTTCTACTGCAGCAGCTTCCCTCAATTTACACTGATGGAAGAAGGCTGAAGAGAGACATCAAACAGAATAGCTTCGGATTTTTATAATTTTCCAGCAACTCTATCAGATGAGCTTGATTAACTATTCCTCAGAGGCCTAAGCAGCCCCATGACAGCAGGCAGCATTGCTGAATTGTAGAGTTTTCTGATCTGCATATTGGAAAACAAAATACAGAACTCTGATAAAGCCCTATATTTTTTGCCTCTTTGAATCCTGAAAAACAAACAAGTTAATAAACATTAAGCATAAGGTTAAAGCTAAACCTGCATGTACCCCCTGATGAAGCTCACGGTGTGCAAACTGAAGGCCTTCATTTCTCTGGGGATAAATTAGGGTTCATATAATAATGCTCTGTTGTCTTGATGTAAAATGCCCATGGTTTGAGAGAGAAATTTAAATTTCTCCCTGGAAGGGTTTTTCAAATGTACTTGAGTCCAAAAATCTCTATCCAAATTTAGGGGGCTTTTAACTATTGGTGCTTTCTGTATCAAAAGGAAAGTTTAATTTAAATAAAATAATTCTTGCTCAGCAATTGAGATAAGGAGTAAGTTTTTTGTCCTATTGGACCACACTCACATGAAGAGGCATAATTTTTATTCAGAAATCAGCACTATCTGTTTTCCAATGTTGCCTCCGGTCATCATGGACTGGAAAGCCTCTATAAGAAAATAAGAATAATACACGTTACTAGGATAATGCTAATTAATCATTTATGAATGTAGTAATTTAAAAAGAAAAAGATAAGATCCTGAGAGCATCCTTTAAAGGATTATAAGAATGTAAAGAAAAATCAAGTTTTGGACTTAATATGTATATTTCCTTACAACCAAGGAAGTTAAAAAATACTGTAATGTTAGAATACAAAACGCCAAAGGCAATTTTAAATAAGACTTTAATAAATTAGTTTTAACATTTAAAATTACTGATCAGACCTCTGTTTACAACAGTGGTTAATTTTTAATTATTGTATGCACCATTACGATATGCCATGCAGACAACATGCACTGCACACACAAAGAGAGGGCATATACCTGTCAAGCCTACACCAAATACTTTTATTTAAAGCTTTGGTCATGGTGTGAAGCTGCAGCTTAAACATATTTTCTGCTTCAGAAATAAACATGAAAACTTTACATAATTAAAGCATAAGTAAACTAATGAAATATGGCTGTCCAGTTGGCCAAGTCCCTTTAAGAAAAATCTATGAAGTACCATAAGCTAAGGGTTCAAAATTAAACCTAGCCTGTATGATTTAGAAAATGTTGTGTTCCCAAGGGTTTTCCTCTGACATTGAGGGATAAAAGCATTACTTAAGTCATGCTGTTACCTGTTGAAATAATGTTTATTTTCAAACCACAAGTTTTGAATAAGCGGGCTCTTTAGCTTTATAGCTTGGGTGTACAAAGCCCCCCTTTGCTTTGTTTTTACTGTTTCTTGTGGTTTTTAGCTTCTGATTGCAGGCTATTTGACTATTAAACCCATGTTCTAGGAGAGGGACAAACATCTAAATTGTGGGAAAGAGAAAGGAGAGAGAATGTTTTATTGTAACTATATTTAAGCAAAGATTATGCTAGAACAAAGAGAAAGGAGAGAGAATGTTTTATTGTAACTATATTTAAGCAAAGATTATGGGAGAACATTTTCCAACTTCTTACCCCCAATGTTTTCCAGGCCCTTTACCACAGTTTCTTTGATCTGTCAATAAAAATAGGTCTCATTAGCTTCTCCCCAAAATCAGAGTATATCTGAAAGGGGCCAAGAAATTGTCATAGCACTGACCAAAATTTTAAAAGGAACCTCTTAGTCAGAGGAAAGTGCTCCTTTTTGGATCTTGCCCATTGGTCAAGGTGGAAGTAGCTAACATTGTTCAACTACATTGTTTTAAATCTCTAGGCCAATAAACCCTTTAAATGAAAGGCAGAACAATACCGCAACTATGAGTGTTCGTGAATATGAATTTCAGGGCAAATGAGCAGGTCAGTTCAGGGACCACATAATATCAGAAGGTCTCTGGAGAAAAGAGCTGGACATGAGGCATTTACCAGTCGTAAAATAACAGAGTGACTTTTCAAGTCTGGATTAGAAACCTTATATCAAAAAACTAGTATTGAGCTTTCTCTGAGAGGCAGAAATCTAGACATCAAGTATGTATGCTTTTAAAAAACCCAGGTCTATTGCTATGAAACAAAATTTGAAGAGCTATACTGCCCTTTCTAAAACAGTGTTGCTATTAAAAAAAGCCATGAGGTGTGTTATTACTTCTCTCGCCAAAGTGAGGCACTCCGGTCAAAGTGATTTTTGATTTGCACAAAGAAATTAGTTTTCCAGAAAGAAGTGTCATGCCCATAAATAAAATGTATAGGTTTAGTTCCTACCTTCAGTTTCCCTTCTTTGATCCAATGACAGAGCTGTAAAATACTAGCTTCTTGTTTGTCCATATAATTCAATACCAGAAATCTCTCCCTGTGAAAGAATGGATGATGATTTAATAACCTCAGTGGCTGGTTAATATATTTCAAAAACTTCAATTTTGTGGGCAAACAACATTCATGAGACAGAAGATTAGTAGCTTTAGCTATAGTGAAATGTAGCGCAGACAGCTGTTGTGCAAGCTTGCTCAAAAAATTCAGTACAGAGGAAGCTTTAGATGAAATAATGTGGTCTTAGACAACACTGATCCTGCCTGCATTTAAAGTGTGGAAAGAAGAACTAGGAGCCAAAGAGTGCTGCTTGAGAGATCAGCTTAATATGGGGCTGTAAAATGCAGGTAATTTTATGATCACTTTTTTGGTCATCCCAAATGGAAACCAGTAAACTAAAAAGCTAGATGATAAGGTACCATTAACTTCTGGCCCCACAATTTTGCATCTCTGTCATAGCTGTTGTGATAATCAGAAGTGATACTAGTGCTAACTGGCTATGACAAGATTAGTGAACATGAATCTCCAATATAACCAAGCAGATGTTCGCTATTTTTTCCCTAGAGATTAAGTGTGGCTCCTAGTGAAGGCTCATTTCTTTTCTACACTTAATCATAGAATCATAGACTCATAGAATACTAGGACTAGAAGGGACCTCGAGAGGTCATCGAGTCCAGTCCCCTGCCCTCATGGCAGGACCAAATACTGTCTAGACCATCCCAGATAGACATTTATCTAACCTACTCTTAAATATCTCCAGAGATGAAGATTCTACAACCTCCCTGGGCAATTTATTCCAGTGTCTGACTACTCTGACAGGAACTTTTTCCTAATGTCCAACCTAAACCTCCCTTGCTGCAGTTTAAGCCCATTGCTTCTTGTTCTATCCTCAGAGGCCAAGATGAACAAGTTTTCTCCTTCCTCCTTATGACTCCCTTTTAGATATCTGAAAACTGCTATCATGTCCCCCCTCAATCTTCTCTTTTCTAAACTAAACAAACCCAATTACTTCAGTCTTCCCTCACAGGTCATATTCTCTAGACCTTTAATCATTCTAGTTGCTCTTCTCTGGACCCTCTCCAATTTCACCACATATTTCTTGAAATG